GCCCCCCGCCAGCAGCAGCACCGCCAGGAGTAGCACAGAGATCCACATCTTGCAGTCTGGGTTGGGAAGAATGCATCCTTTGCTTCTGAGCTCCGCTTTTATGACTGAAGCTCCGCCCCACTAGTTTGTCATTAGAGGAACACCAAACTAAGGAAAAGCCAGGGACTTTGACCAATGCCCGCGCAAAGCTGATGAACATTGTCCATCCTGGCTCTCCGTAGGACGTTTGATGTGTGGGATTTCCATTGCTTGCTGGGAAATATAGTTCTAGCACGGGACGGGAGGCGCTGAGCGCCTGCGCGATGAGGCCCCGCAGGGGATGCGGGACTCCTACCGGAACGCTGGGGACGCGTCCGGTGAGCCCGGGGTGGGGTGGGGTGAGATGGAGTGGGGGATGAGGGGGACGATGTGGGATGGAAATGGTCACCGCGCAGCCACACAAGGGTGAAAGTTGCTGGTCTAAGAGAGATGCCGCCTGGGAGGCAGAGAAGATCTGGGTTCAGTTCCGCGATGGATTCGCTGAAACCTCGGAGGCAATTCATTGCTTTCCTCCACTTCCCTTTACAAGCAATGAGAACGTTTCCGTCCCGAGTTCCCACACAGCCTCCGCCTGTGTCTGGGTTTCTGGATGAGTTGAGACCCCTGTTGAGAACTGCGCAGGCGCTCTCCTGAGTCTGTCACTGCCCCAGGGCTAGCAGCCAAACACGGGGTCCCTGAAGTTGTCCCTAGCTGTATCCCCTAATCGCAATCACTCTGCAGGGCCTCTAAGTACAGAACCACCTAGGAACAAGCTCAAGAAAAACCGTCAAGGCTAACCTATGTGTGTGTTTGCATTTAAGGATAAACCAGCTTCTAAATCACCTCTGGAGGTTAGCTCCAGCAGACAGTCTAGAGAGCCTATCCTCTTAACGTTGCCCTTTGAGGATAACAGATCTGAAATAAGCACTTGATTTGAGTCCGATTGTTTTTATAGGAAGCCCATTTCTTCAGATACCAACTATCAGGAGGAGTGACTTTGTAACTTTGAGTATTTTATGCCTTTTACAGACCCCAGCAGTGCTCCAGTCGACGGTGTAAAGCAGGTCATGATTCTGTGCTACTTGGTTTGTTTCCCACACAGTAACCGGAAAGCCTTCCCGAGACTGCCGCTGTCATATCTACCTGTACCCCTGCCAGGTTAGCTTGTGTGTGTGTGTGTGTGTGTGTGTGTGTGTGTGTGTGTGTGTGTTTGAGTGAGTGATCCTGTGCTGTCATCCAGGAAAGGAAAAAGAGAGTTGGATGCTGAGGTTCCAGGGAGAGAAAGCTAGTTCTGGAGTGCTGCAGGTAAAGGATTACCACATCCTTCCTAGATCACAGCCCCAAAGCGACAATGATCCCATTTTGTTACTGGCAGCCAGTCCTTGAGGAATGGAGATTATATTCCCCAAGTCAGAGCTGACTCTGTGGAGAGGCCTGCCTTCTGCCTTAGTCCTCTAAGCCTGTGAAGTATGATCGTCAGAACCCTCCATCTACATTTTCTTCCCTTCAGTTTTAAGGGGTGAACTAGTGTCCTGCTACTATGCTACCAGCCTTTCCACCCAACTCTTTGTGTGTGTGTGTGTGTGTGTGTGTGTGTGTGTGTGTGTGTGTGTGCATGCCCATATAGGAACAGAAACACCAGAGGAGGATTGCCAGTTGCCCTGTTCTGTCACTTTGTGCCTTATACCTTTCAAGTTGGGTCTCTAACTGAACCTGGAACTAGGACCAGTAACCAGCAATTATTTTATCTTCATCCCCCATAGTGCTAGGTAGCCAAACTCAGGTCCATACACCTGAAGCAAGCTCTCTTACCCACTAAGCCATTTTTCCAGCCCCTGTTTTGTTTTTAAAATCTTATTGAGTTGGAGGTGAGTGGAATGGTGTCCGTCGTGGTGCATGTATGGAGGTCAAAAGACAACTTGTTTCTCTCCTTCTACCATGTGGGTCCGTCAGGGGATTGAACCCAGGTCATCAAACTTGCTGGGAAGCACCTCCACCTACTGAGCCATTTCACCTACCCTTATTGTGTTTTTTATTGAGACAAAGTCTTGCTATGTAGCCTCAGCTGGCCTGGAACTCTATATAAGTCAGAGTTACAGTGATTCTCCTGCCTCTGCGACCAGGGGCATACACTACCATACAGAGAATTATCTCTGATCTTTTTCTTTCCTTTTTTTTCCTTTTTTCCCCCTTCAGTGTTGGAGATTGAACCCAGGCCCTCACATATGATAAGCAATCTGTAACTTCAGCTCAGGGGATCCAGTACCCTATGGACATCTGTACATACATGGCAGACACATACATCTGCATGAATAAAAATAATAATTTCTTTGAAAATTGGGTGTGGTAGTGTGGTAGCACATACTTGTAATCCCAGCTTAGGACAGCGGAGACAGACAGATCTCTAAAGCTCATTGGCTGGCCAGCCCGCCTGCTTGTTGGGTTCCAGGCAAATGAGAGATCCTGTCTCAAAAACTAAGCTGAACAGACTCTGCTGTAACAATTGCTGAGGTTGTCCTCTTAATCCTCTCGCACACACAAGGGGGCATGCATGCATGTGTGTGTGTGCACACATAAGTTGAAAACCAGGATTTGATTCCCCACACAACTACACACACACACACACACACACACACACACACACACACACACACACACACAGAGTTTCTGTCTCTCTCACACACAGAGTTGACCATTTTGGCTTGGCAAGGTTAGGATATCATCTTGCATTTTGAGTTTTTCTGTCACTCTAGGAAACAAGTCTAGGATTTTAAGCCCCAGAACTCCACCTGTGTCTAGGATCCGAATAAAGCCAGAGTTTTTCAGGAAAATGCAACCACCAGTTAACCTCACCCCCATAAGCCAACTAGGTCTCAGTGATGTCATGACCACAAACAGACACCACTACTTAGAACAGTGACACTGCCTTCTAGACAGACAGTGGCAGTGCCCCACCCTCACCCCAATCCTCTGTATGGTGCATCCAATCCTGTGGTGTGGGCAGTAAGCAGTAGACATCTGGCTAAGCAACTTGCTTACTTAGAATAAATTCACAGTTAATGAAAGATTTTTAAAGTCTTTTCCTCCTTGAATAGAGGCATAACTGAATAATGAAGCCAGTTTTTTCTTCTTCTTCCTGCCCACCCTGTCTCTGTTTTTCCAGACTGAGGCTTCACAGTCCCCAGAGGCTCCTTCAGGACTCACAGGGACATTCTGCACCTTGGTGATGGCACAAAGGGACTGTTTTCTTACTTGTAATCTGAATGGCTGCCAAGAAGGAAGACAAAGGTAGAGAACGCGGACCTGTGGCTCTCGTGTGGCTTAGGACCTCAGACCATCATATCAAGCCCCTTTCAGCTCCCAAGGACAAGGCTCATCTGAACCAGCGATCTTGAGGCATGAATGAGAAATCTTGCTCTTTTGGGACTGAGAACGAAATACGAGATGGACAGGTGAGCATTCCTACTTGGAAAAGAAGGTGCTGTTTGGGGTAATACTGTTAATGAGACAAAGAATATGGCGTTTTAGAAATATTTAGGGGAGATGATCATATATCTTCCTTCTAGGAGATTCTGGGCTGAAGGTGTAGTTCAGCAATGAAGCACTTGCCCAGCGTGCCTGCAGCTGTAAGGTTCCATTTCCAGGATCAGACAGGCAGACAGAACAGGAGATTCTAAGCCATCATGGTGTTTGAAATACCAGTATTTCAGTATTGCTTGGACTCATGTCCATTAACTTACTATTCTCTTCCCTGTCAGTCACTGGCTTTGGCTGATTGTCTTACTTAGCTTTTAAAAATTTATTTATTTATTTAATGTGCATTGGTGTTTTGTCTACTTGTATGTATGTGTAACAGTGTCAGATCTTGGAGTTACAGTTGTGAGCTGCCATGTGGGTGCTGGGAACTGAACCCGGGTCTGCTGGAAAAGCAGTCAGTGCTCTTAATTGCTGAACCATCTCTTCAGCCCCCTTACTTTGTTTTTATTACTGTGATAAATACCATGACCAAAAGCAACTTGGAGAGGAAGGGATTTATTTCATCTTACTACAGGCCATCCCTGAGGGAAGTCAGGGAAGGAACCTGGAGGCAGGAACTGAAACAGAACCATGGAGGAACACTGCTTACAGACTTGCTCCTTAGACTCATATTCAGCCAGCTTTCTTATACCTCCCAGGATCACCTGACCCGTGTGGCACTGCCCACAGTGACTGGATCCTCCCTTATCAATACTTACTCAAGAAAGTATCAGTCGGACAGAGGGGCACACACATTTAATCCTAGCACTTAGGAGACAGAGACAGGCAGATCTCTGTGAGTTCAAAGTCACCTGGGTCTGCATAGTGAATTCCAGTCCAGCTGTTTCAAAATCAACAGACTTGTCTGAAGGCCAATATAACAGGCATTTTCTCAGTGGAGACATCTTTTCCAGATGGCACTAGCTTTATGTCAAGTTGACAAACACATAAGCAGCACCCTGACCACCACCCTGAGGCCTCCTAGTGGTGTCCATGTGAGCCTGACAGCTAGCCTACATTCTGGACCGACTGCTCTGTCTTGCTGGCCAGAAATGAGATTCAGAGGCCGGAATACAGACAAAGCACTTGCTGAGCTCTCCAGGGAGGTTTCCTCATTCTCAAAAGAGGACAGACTGTTCTTCCAAAGGGAAGTATCCGGAAGGGGGCTGAAGTGTAGACAGAGAAGAATGAAGTGAACCTTTTGCCGGAAAAATTTGGGTTGCATGCAAAGGCATCAAGACTTAAGAAGGGGGCTAGAGAGATGGCTCAGTGGGTAACAACACTAGCTACTCTTGTGGAGGACCCATGTCAGGTGGCTCAGAGGCACCTATAACTAGAGCTCCAGGGGATCAGTTTCCTTTCTGGCCTCTACAGGCCTCTGCACACACATGACACACTGGCACAGATGTACACACTTAATTTTAAAATCAAAATAGAACTGAGTGTGGTGGCCACCCCTTTAGTCCCAGCACTTGGGAGACAAGAGATAGGTGGATGGATCATTGTGAGTTGTAGGCCAGCCTGGTCTATTTAATATGTTACCAGCTAGGGTAGTGTGGTCAGATCCTGTCTCAAAATAGAATAAGGGGCTGGAGAGAAGGCTCAGTGGTTAAGAGCACATGCTGCTCTTGCAGAGGTGCCAGATTCAGTGCCTGCATTACCTGATGGGTTGTAAACATCCGTAGTTCCAGTTCCAGGGGACCCGATACCTTCTGGTCTCTGCAGGTACCAGGGATGTTTGGCATGAACAAACATACATGTAGGCAGAACACTCATATGCTCATACATACCAAATAAGTCTTAATTAAATTTTTTTTTTCAAGAAAGGGTTCTCTAGGTAGCCTCAGAACTCACTCTATAGACCAGGCTGGCCTCAAACTCATAGAGATCTACCTGCCTCTGTCTCCCAAGTGCTGGGATTAAAAGTGTATGTCACCACTTCCCAGCATGTATTTTTTTTAAACAATGGGAAAGAGAAGGGAAGGAAGGAATGGTAAGCAAATGAAAAAATTGGTAGACTTCAGTGAGGTGGGTCTTCACTGAAATTCCCCTACCTTACTGGCCATAGTGGTACACATCTGTCACCTAGCACTCAAGAGGAGGCAGAGGCAGAAGGATCGACACATATTCTAAAGCCAGCCAGAGCTACATAATGAAACAACAACTCAAAGCAAACAATGGTGATGAAAAATAACTATAAAGCAAAGAGAGGAGTCTCTTTTAAACCCAAAGTAAAGGAAAGCAAAGTTCCATAGGCCACGTGGGAAATATGCTCTCAGGAGGATGTGCAGTGTCTATACATGGGTAGCCTCAGCTGTCCCAGAACTCACTGTGTAGACTAGACAGGCCTCCAACTCACAGATTCACCTTCCTCTGCATCCTGAGTGCTAGGATTAAAGGCGTGAACCACCACCACCTGGATAAATCTTTAAGTTTTTAAATCCACCATTAGACAATGTTTAATATTTTTTTTAACTTTTATAAATAGTGCTACAGTGAACAAGAATGTAAACACATCAAGAGGAAATGTTTATCTGTTAAATAAGCTACTAGACTTCAGTGGGACTTGGGTTGTGAAAAACCTGTAAATTTGGACAAGGATGTCACTCAGTCCATAGTGTGCTTGTCCCTAATGCATGACGATACCTGGGTTGTGGGGATATATACCTGTAATGCTTTTAGTCCCAAAAACTTGGGAGGTGGAGGCAGGAGAACCAGAAGTTCAAGATCATCCTCCAAAGCAACTTCTGAGATAGCTTGGAATACATGAGCCCTTGCCTCCAAATTACAGTCAAGAGTAAGTAAGAGCACTTACTCTCTGGTGCTGGTATCTGCCCCAGTGCCAGGAGTAGACATGAGTGCAGTCCAACAAAAGACCCTACATTCTTGTTTTGTTTTTTTGAGACAGGGTTTCTCAGTGTAATAGCCATAACTGTCCTAGAACTCACTCTGTAGACCATGCTGGCCTTAAAACTCACAGAGATATGCCTGCCCCCCCCCCAAGTGCTGGTATCAAAGGTGTGTGCCACCACCACCCGACAACCCTACATTCTTTAAGAAGACATTTACAGCATTTGAATATCTTTTTTGCATTTTATCTTTTTTGTAACTCAATTGTGTGGTTCTTGAGTGTGAATTTTATAGATGACAGTGTCTGTTGCAAGGTTAAAAGGTTAGACACGCCTGCATCTGGTGAGTTGTAACCCTTGACCCACTAGAAAAAAAAATTATCAACATTTTTTTGACCTTTGGTAACCTAACTACTGAAACAGTATCTCAGAATAGTTCATATGTATTAGTCAGGGTTTTCTAGAGGACAGAAGTGGGGTGTGTGTGGGGGTGTGTGTATGTGTGTGTGTATCCATTAGAGTGGTTTACAGGCTTGCTGGTCTAACAGAAACACTAAGAGTCCAGTAGTTGTTTAGTCCATGAGGCTAGGTAGATGTCTCAGCTGGTCTTCAGTCTACACCAGAATCCTGAGAAAGTAGGCTCTAATGCCAGTGAAGGATAGACTTGCCAGGGAGAGCCAGGGCCAACAGGCAAGGCCAAAGCTTCCTTCTTTGTGTCCTTTTTATAGGCTGCCAGCTGCAAGTGTGGGCCAGATTTCAGGGGGGTTCTCCTACTTCAGATCATCCAGTCAAGAAAAATCTCTCACAGGTGTGTGGCGATACATTGTTTATGATCTAATAAAGCTTGCTTGAAGATCAGAGTAGCAAAGCAGCCAGACACCAGAGAGCTCTCACCTCTACCAAGGCTCAGACTGAAGGGGTGATCCACCAAACCTCAGATTGCATCTCCAGACGGCATTGCTCCGGCATTGCTCCTCACCAAATCTCAGGCTGCTCCTGAGACTGCACAGAGCTGCTTATATTCCCTCTAGTGCTGGGATTTAAGGCATGAGCTCTGTTTCTCTTTTAGACTGATTTACTCTCATGTAGCCCAGGGTGGCCTTGAACTCACAGAGATCCATCTGCCTCTGTCCCCTGAGTCTTGGGATTAAAGGTGTTTGCCACTACTGCATGTCTTCTATGGCTGTGGCTAGCTTTGCAGTCTGAGATTTGGTAAGGAGCAGTGCCGTCTGGAGATGCAATCTGAGAATCACCCCTTCAGTCTGAGCCTTGGTAGAGGTGAGAACTCTGTGGTGGCTGGCTGCTTTGCTTCTCTGATCTTCAGCTTGAATCCGAATAACTGTCTCTTGGTTTTTTATTATTTGTGCTACACAGGTGTATCCAGCACCTTAGATTTTAGTTAATTCTAGATGTAGTCAAGTGGACAACCAAGAATAGTCTTTACATCTATGGTTTTTTTTTTTTTTTTTTTTTTTTTTTTTTTTTTTTTTTTTTTTTTTTTTTTTTTTTAATGCTTGGGCCTAGAGAGACCACTCAGCTTTTAAGAGTACTTGCTGCTCTTCCAGAGGACCTGGGTGCAGCTCCCAGTACCCATGTCAGAGGGCTTGTAACCCAAGGATCTCATCCCTCTCCTGGCCTCCTTGAGCACATATGGCAGACTCTCATACATGGAAAAACACACACAAAAATAATGACAATGTGCTTTTGAGCCAGGGAGATGACCCAGTGGTGAAGTGCCTACTGTGCAACATGAGGACGTGAATTTGTGTCCCCAGTACCCAGGAAACAGGTGTGGTGCCTGTGCCTGTAATCCCCATGGTGAGATGGGAGGTGGAATTCCCTTAAGGGCCCTGCTAGCCTGGTGCTCCACAGGGGATAAGAGACCCTGCCTCAGAGCCAGGTGGGAAGTGAGGATAGAGACTAGGGTGGTTTCTCACGGTCACACATGCACCTACAGACACCCACACTTCAAATTATATAAAGTGACATCTCCTTTTGAGTAAATCACCAGTTTTCTACTGAATTCAGTGTTGTGATATGTGGTGTGCGTGCGTGTGCATGTGTGCACGCCAGTCTTGCTTTGTAGCCTAGGCTAGTCTCCAAATCAGCATCCTCCTGTCTCCACCTCCCTCCTGTGTGGCTGGGATTGCAAGGCTGTACTACCACTCTCTGCTTGTTTCGTTTGGTTGGTTTGTGGAAATGATTGAGTGGTTGGTTTGAGACAAAAATCTCTGTGTGTGTTTTAAGTTTTATTTTATTAATTCTTCAAGAATTACGTACATGTTTATAGTACATGCATTTGATCATATTTGCCCCTAATTCTGCCCCTGTTTCTTCCCAGAGCCACCCCAACCCCTCCTAAATTCATGACCTCTCCTTAAATTAAAACAAAACAAAACAAAAAAAATACCACAAGCCCAATTTGTTCTGCTCAGGTGTTTGTGGATGTGGGGGGAGCCGCTCTGGCACTCAACCTTTCAGGGGACACACCTCTTGAGAAAACTGAGTGCTTTTTGTTTTGTTTTTAATTTACTGGTTTATAGTTTTTTTTCCCAACATGTTAGGAGAATTGGCCCCTAATCTGTGCTTGTGATGTGAGCAGGAAACAGTTGTGCAAAGGCTTTGTTGCTGACATTTGGTTTTGCTTCTTTTGTTGTTGTTTTGTGTTGTTGTTTGTTGTTTGTTCGTTTGTTTGTTTGTTTAAGTCAGGGTTTCTCTGTGTCGCCCAGGCTATTCCGAAACTCACTATGTAGACAGGCTGGCCTCAAATTCAGAGATCCAACTGCTCTGCCTCCAAGTGCTGGGACTAAAGGCATGTACCACCACTACTTAGCTGTTTTATTTTTTTAAACACTTTTAGGGGAAAGGTTTGCTGAGGGAAAGGGCTGGGCAAAGTACCTAAATGAACTTCACTGTCATAGGTTCCAAGACTTGTAACAGTAGAGAAACCAACATAAGATTTCTTAGGGGCTGGTGAAATGGCTCAGCAGTAAAAATGCTGCCAAGCCTAATGACAGGAGTTCAGTTCCCCAGACTCACATGGTGGGAGAGACCCAGCTCCTACAAATTGTCCTTTGACCTGCACATGCAGGCAGTGGTACACATGCTCCCCCATACAAACATATACAAGCATACATATATACATAAAGTGATTTTTTTTCTTTTCTTTTCTTTTTTTTTTTTTTTTTTTTTGGTTTTTGGAGACAGGGTTTCTCTGTGTAGCTTTGGAGCCTATCTTGGCACTCGCTCTGATAGAAGCGAGTGAAGACCAGGCTGGCCTTGAACTCACAGAGATCCACCTGCCTCTTCCTCCTGAGTGCTGGGATTAAAGGCATGCGCCACCGACGCCCCGCTACACAAAGTATATAACAGGAATCCTTTTATAGTTTTCTCTTCACTTTTCTACCCTTTATCCCCCCTGCTTTCTCTTATGGTGGGTCCCCTAGCCATGATCATGCTACACAATGAGGTACCTACAGTTCTACATGCACAGGGCTACATGCCAAGCTTAATCATTAACCCATTTCTATTCATCTGTGTGTCTCCATGTGGTTTTGGCTTACTGGAGAATGCCTGGCGTCCTAGCTTCCTGGTAGCTACATGGCATCTGCCTGGAGGCTTCTCTCTGCCTTTCTCTTCCCAGAATTCTCCTAGTTGGGTAGCCCCACCTCTATTTCCTTCCTGGCTACTGGACAATCAGCATTTATTTGTCAACCAATAAGAGAAATCTTATTCACAGCATGCAGGGCATCCCCCATCATCGATCCTCCGCCTCTACCTCCCAAGTTCACCACCACGCCCAGTGGTTTGACTTTATAGTGTTGTACCTGATTTCTATGAAGTTCATTTCTTGGTGATTCTAGGAAAAGTTGAGAAATTTAAACTATGGTCTGTGGGAGATTACTGCAGGAAGTTGACCCTGGTCTGTCTGTCTGTCTGTCTTACAGGTGGAAAGTGTCTCTGCAGGACATTCTTCATTGTACAAGGACAACAGTACACTCATGGCTTTCAGAGGAATGCCTGTATGTATCACTCACTCTTCAGTGCCTTTTCTGCCTTTGTGTGCTGGGGACACAGCAGGGCATAAACTCCAGGAGCTTCCGTAGGGCAAAGCACACACCTGTCACACACTGCCTATCTGACAAGATCATAGCACCCAGAGGATGAGCATAGGGTGCGCTAGGGATGCCAGAGGCACACCACAGTCCCAAAGGAGTTGTGTGCATTTGTGTTTGTTTATCATTCAGCAAGGACATTCACTTGTCCCGCATATTAACAAACTGTAACTTCACAAAGTTTTCCAGGAGCTCTACTTTAAGAATAACTTTTAGGCTGGCAGAGGTGGTACAGGACTGTCAGTCCCAGCATTTGAGAGTCTGAGGCAGGAAGACAAGAGTTCAAGGCCTGCCTGTACTACATAGCTATGCTCTGTCTTGAACAAAAACAAGATTGAATTTAGAACCCGGGTTATAAATTCAGTGTAGAATGAGTACTTCCTATACGCTAGGCTCTGAGTTCAGTCCCCAGCATGAGCTCACATGAGTGAGTGTGCACACACAATTAGGATTGAGGAAATAGTCAGTAAAGTGGTTGCCTTGCCCCACACGAGGACCTGGCTTTTATCCCTAGGATGTACAGAAAAGGCCAGGCATGGTGGCATGTGTTTGTAATCCTAGTGCTGTGGAAGCAGAGGCAGGAGGATCTTGGGGTTCACTGGGCAGCTAGTCTAGCCAAATGGGGAGCCCCAGGTACCAGTGAGAGACCAACCCTGTTGCAAAAAAGCAAAGTGGAAGTCTGAGAAACAACACCCAAGGTTGACCTCTGGTCTACATGAGTGCACTCTCTCACGCACACACACACACACACACACACACACACACACACACACACTTTTAATCAGTCCATCAGAGCAGACTATATTTTTCCAGTCTTTAATTTCCAATATATTTCATATATAGTGGGTGGGAAGAGCTGTGTGGGGGGAGACAAGGAATCTACCCTCACTCTAAAGGTCGCCTGCCCCTATAGATCTCAGAGCTGAAGAACCACGGCATTTTCCAGGCCCTGACCACAGAAACCAATGGATGGCAGCTAGGTGGTAAGGATTCCGAGGGCCCTTAGGGTTTGGATGGGACCCAGATCAGAGCCACCTACGAGCCACTTTCCATTGTCTGGATCACCCTTGCTCCTACTCCTTCAGAATTTTGTATGTATCATTCCCCAACAAAAATTAGAAGCAACGCTGGGTTAGGAGCCAGTTTGTCTGTTGGTGGTTTGCTGTGTGCTTCTGGGCAAGTCATGTAATGTCTGTTTACAGTGAAAAATTTTAATTACATTTATTTGTTGGAGGGAGGTGTAGGCCAGAGATGACTTGCTGGAGTCAGTCCCTTTCTTCCACTGTTCAGATCCCAGGAATGAACTCAGGTTACCAGCCTTGGAGGCATCGAACCATCTCACAGATCCAACAGTGGAGATGTAAACATCTCTCATCCTTAAGGACAGTCTGAAAATGAGTCAGTACAGGGCTGGGCTGTGGTGGTGCATGCCTTTAATGCCAACACTCAGGAAACGGAAGCAGGCAGAGCTCTGTGAGTTTGAGGCCAGCTAGTCTACAAAGCAAGTTCCAGGACAGCTAGGGCTGTTACATAGAGAACCCCTTTCTAGATACACCCTACCCCCAAAAAAGTAATGCTCTTGGCTAATTTCCATTTACAGGATGACTAAATCAGCACTATTTAGTTGATGGATAAATGGGAAAGGCAAAATAAAGGAGTCAAATACTAAAAGAAAAATGTGAGCTGCATGAGTTATCCTAGAGATATTTGCTTTACACACACACACACTCTCTCTCTCTCTCTCTCTCTCTCTCTCTCTCTCTCTCTCCTGTGGTTCCTATGTCAGGATCATCTTCAGAACCAAGAGGGTTGGCCTGGTTCCAGGAAGGCAGGGGCAGTGCATACATGGTTTGGCCATCTCTCTCCAGATTTTAGGCACTAGCTGGATAAGGCTAGCTGAGACCTTGAACCTTCTGTTGCATAACTGTTGTAATAACTAATTCCCTCACCCTCTGGCCAAAGTTTCTTCTGCCTCTGACTCATAGTTGTGGTCAAATTGCCTGTAGGTGAGGGAGCAAGGGTAAGAGATAGATCAGTTATTGATAGATGCTTGGAGGCCAGAGTTGAAGGTGGGAAGGCAGTGTTCAGTCCTATTACTTTCCCCGTGTTCCACACTCCTTGCTTGGTTTTGTTTTCTGAGACAAGGTTTTAAGTAGCCTTTCTGTCCTAGAGCTCACTCTGTAGATCAGGTTGGCCTTAAACTTGCTGTGATCCCTCTGCCTCCCTAGTGTACCGGAGAGCATCAAGTGCCTAAACTACTAAGTCATCTCTCCAGCCTTTCCTCTCTTGGAGGGGGAGCTGAGGACCAAAACCATGGCCTTTTGCTTGCTAGACAGATGCTCTGAGCCAAATCCCCAACTCCTCATTCGTCTCTTTGTTCGGCTACTTTATCCCTCATTTTTATGTCCCATAGTCTTGCATGCTAAAGGCTGAACTTTGTTTTCTTATTCAAGCAAGACCAAGTTCTGTGGACGTTATGTAGCTAAGTCACCTGAGTCTCAGTGTCAGCTACCCCAAGGCTAGAAGTAGCAAGATGGAATTTCCTAGCAATCTATTTCTTAGGACCCTGAATCTGTTTCCCCTTGCTGGCCCAAGGCCATAGCAAGCACTTGTTAAACTCTTCCTCCTAGGCTGCATCCCCATATAAGAAGCTGGAGAATTGCCTCATGCTTACAACAATCCCTAAGGACTTGCAGATGATTAAGTAATTTGGCCAAAAATATACAACTAGAAAGCCGCAATGAGCCCTCTCCTCTTCCAGCCACTTTCTACTTGGTTTTCACTAGCATTTGGTAGTATCTTATTTAATCCAAAAGTCTTTTCTGTCAATCCATCTTTCGTTACTACAACAAAGTACCAGAGGCTGGTTAATTTTATATGGAATAGGGGTTTAAGCAGGCATGGTGGCAAATGCCTGTGTCTCCAGCACTTGGGAAGTAGAGGTAGAAAAGTTAGAAGTTTAAGGTTATTCTTTGCTAGAGTGTGAGTTCAAGACCACACAGGGCTACATAAGACCCTACCTAAAAAAACAAAACAAAACAAAACAAAAAAACAGACAACCTGAGGTTCATTGAAGTTCAGAAGGGGCTATATCTGGTGTCCTACCTGATGTTGGAGTCCCAAATTGGTGCAGGGTACCACATGACAAAAGAGAGATTACATACACAGTGTCTCTTCTAGTTCCTGTCCTTCCTGTTTTATTTTGTGACAGAGTCTAAATAGACCGTGCTGGCCTCAAACTCACAGAGATCTGCCCCTGCCTCTGCCTCCACCTCCCAAGTGCTGGAATTAAAGATGTGTAACACCATGCCTGGCATTTTTTTAATTGTAATTTTCATAAAAGTCAAAATGAAGTCTTCCAGAGATGACAAAAGATACACCCAAGCAACATACCTGTTTGTATAAGGTGACTGAAAGTCATGAATACCCATGATAAACTAAAAGCTTTGACTCTGTGGCAGACTGAGCAATGGCTTGTTTAGTATTCTTTTCAGTCTTTTTGTTTGGTTGGTTTGGTTAGGTTTTTGTTTTTTGGAGATGGGGTTTCTCTGTGTAGTCCTGGTTGTCCTGGAACTTACCCCGTAGACCAGGTTGACCTCAAACTCACAGAGATCTGCCTGCCTCTGCCTCCCGAGTGCTGGGACTAAAGACGTGCACCACCACCACCGGCAAAATAGCCTTTTTAAAAAATTTTTTATTAGTATTTAAAAGACAGGGTCTCCTGTATTGTCAACTACCTTTCACTGTGCGTGGTGTAAGCAGTAGTAGGGATTGAACCAAGGGCTTTATGCATGCAAATGTTAGGCAAGCACTCTACCAAATGAGCCTCATCCCAAGCCCAGAAACCTGACTTTTAACATTGTTCCTTCAGCTTTCCTTGGACTACACGGTTTTCCATTGCCCTTTGCTCCTGTGCTGAGGTCTCCCTGGGGACCCCTGTGGGCATGGTGCTCCCCATACCCTTTTTCTCTGGCTCTGCAATGTCTAAGCACTTCCTTTTCTCTTCCTGGTCTCTAATGAAGCCACCAGGATTCAGGCATGATAACATGATCTAATCCTTGCCACCTCCTAAAGGCCATTTGATCAGAAGGACAGCTGTGAGGGAAGGGCTGTGTGAGAGCAGCTTCACAAAGCCAGATCTCACAGAGACTCTTTTTCTCGCTGTTGCAGTTGTAAACTCGGAGGTGCTCAGAGCCCAGGAAGAATGGGATGTGGTGGACACCATCCATCCAGACCCAGGTAAGTGTGGAAATGGCTCTGTGCAGCGCAACTCCCAGCAGAACCCACATGCACGGCCATTGCTGCTGTGACAGGGATTAGAAGTTTAGTCCTTGAATGGTCTCATTTTAGTTGTGTGACATGGAGTAGTCTCTTCCACAGATCCTGAAATGTTAGCCCGCTGCATGAAGTAGGGAAGGAACACCACACAGCAAGCCTACCGTGACTGCCCACCCTCCACCCAGTGCTGAGGGAAGACAAGAAGGCCTTGGTCAGGGTTAGGCCCTGAAGGGGGACAGGGATGGAGTCAGGCAGTGAGGGCCCCATGAAAGCCATCTGCTGGCAGTCCCTGAAAGCTGGGGAGAATTACCGCAAGTCCTTTTCTGACAGATTTAGATGGAGCTGTAAAAGGGTAGAGATGATCTGGGTCTCACCCAAGCTCAGGAGAAATGCCACAGTGAAGTGGCACCAGCCACCACCTGTATTGTTGGTGACAAGTTGGTAGCCAGTGCTTGGTTTAGAGGTGACAACCAGCTGACCATCAGTGGACAACTACTACCCTAAATCCTCAGATGTCTTCTTTGTTTGCCTAGAGATTGGGGTCAGCTCCCAGCAGCCTGGCCAGCTCATCTCCTTCAGCGAGGCCCTGCAGCACTTCCAGACCCTGGACCTCTCCTCCTTCAAGGTATGGCTGTAGGGAAGTATGGGCATCCAGGGTGCTCCGGCTTCCTAAGCTTGCTGGGCACTGATCTTTTCTCACCTAAGAAAGCTTGGATCTCAGGTAGCCAAAGGACCAGGTTTGGTGGCTCACACCTGTAATCCCAGCATTAGAAAGACAGAGGCAAGAGGTTTGCCTCATGCTTACGGCCAGTTACAGCATGTGCTCCAAGCTAAGAACCCACGACTGATTGATGGGTTATGTGTGTACAGGTGCCCTATGGTGGCCAGAGGCTCTTAAGGTCCTCGGAACGGATGGCTGTGAGCCACCTGATGCGATGTCGGTGCTGGGAACCAAACCCAGGACTTTTAGAAGAACAACAAGTGCTCTTATTAACCCATGAGCCATCTCGGAAAACCATTTAGGGCCCTGCTAGCCTTTGTGGAATTGAGCCTGAGGAGCTCTTACAGCCCTGTGATTTAGAACATGTGTAGCTATCTCCTGGGTTTCCCTCTTAGAGATGGGAAGTATGGAGTCAAAGACCAGGTAGCTCCTTGGGGAGGCAAGACAGACTGTCTAGGGAGAGGGGTACTAATGATTCATGGCAAATGAAGGAGAATTCCCTGTAGGACCCAGGAGCTGTTTGGGATTTTAATTAAATTTGTGTATTTTTGAAACGGAATCTTATTATGCAGCCCTGACTGAACTGGTATTCACTATGTTGCCAGGGGTGGTGGTAACTCAAGGCAACCCTGCTCCTCTGCCTCTCAAGTATTGGTGTTATACACATGTACTACCACACACAATATAATTTAGGAAAGATGTTGGGGGCTGGAGAGATAGCGGGTAAGGGCACTCATTTTTGCAGAGGACTCAGGTTTGATTCTAAAACCTATACATATGATCATCCATTACTTCAGGGCCAGGGATTCAATACCCTCTTCTGACTACCTCAGGCACCGGGCATGCACATGGTGCACAGACATACATTTGATCAAAACACTCACACATAGATTAATTTTTTTTTAAGGTATGGATACTAAGGATGATGGCACTCATCTGTAACTCTAGCACTCAGGGGACTGATGTGGGAAGACCATAAGTTCAAGGCCAGCCTGAGCTACATAGAGAAACCTTGTCTCAAAAAAGTTATGTGGGAGCTAGGCAATGGTGGTGCACACCTCTAATCTCAGCACTCAGAAGGGAGAGGCAAACAGATCTCTGAGTTCAAGGCCATCCTGGTCTACAGAGAGAGTTCCAGGACAGCCGGGGCTACACAGAGAAACTCTGTCTTGAAAAACCAAGAAAACCTAAATAGTTTTATGGGGCAGTAAGATGATTCGGTGGGTAAAGCTTTTGCCATGCAAGCCTCATGGTCTGAGCTAGATCCCCAGAACCCATGGGAAAGTGGAAAGAGAGAACTGACCTCTACACATGAGTCATGACAAGTATGCCCCTCATTCACATCATGTACACACACAGTAATAATAAAGTGGAATTGGGAAAAAAGAGTATTGTCAGCATTACGGCGGCTCAGATGGAAAGGTATTCTAGTACTCAGGAGCCACAGAATACTGAGTGTTAACAGCTCTGATGGAAAGGAATTCTAGCACTCAGGAGCCACAGAATACTGCATTTTACAGCTGAAATGGAAAAGGATTCTGGTATTCAGGAGCCCAGGAATACCAGAGGTCATAGTAAGCAGGGAAAGGAAGCCTGCTCCAGGGAAAGGCTTCCCCAGGGTATCAGCTCTGCTCCAGCATGGGAGGGCTTCCCCAGTGAAGTTACAGTTCGACTTTAGTCCCCCGGAGTGTAGTGTAACAACTCTGCTTTGCTAGGGGAAGGTTTCCTCTGGGAATCTGTTCTGGCTCCTGACTCCAGGGAAAAGTTGTTACTTCTCTCCTCTGCTTCATTTCCTCAAAGGAAGATCTCATCCAAACCTCATTCAAGAAATTTATTGGGAGGAAAGAATCCAGGAGAGTGTCTGCCTCTGCCAGGGTGGAAGGAGACAGCCCACAGCCATATGCTGAACAGGCACAGGGTTTATATGGGGCTTCTTAGGGGTGGAGTTTTTCCAGGGTGGGGATTGGCCACATTTCAATCCCTGAGCTCAGATTGGCTAGATCTTGTGCTCAGGGATTGGTTGGTTTTCTGCTCAGGTTCAGGGTCAGATTTGGCTTTGGTTTCAGGGCCAAAGTGTGTTTCTTTCACTGGTCCTTTTTTAGCCTTTGGCTCTAATTTTAGGGCCAGGAAGTATTTCTTTCTCTGGCTCTGATTCCAGGGCCAAACTATGTTTCTTTGGTTCTGCTCAGGGTGTGTTTCTTTGGCTGGCCCTTTTCCCCTACAAGTATTAGGAGAATAAGCACACTGAGGGTTTTGAGGGATGTCTTGAGTGACCAGTAGTTAATTTAGCAGAACGTGGTTTGGGGTATTCACCTTAAAGCCTGGATCATGAGAGAAGCTAAAGAGACAGACACTGATATAGAAGGCCAGAAGATGCCAAAACCCAGAACTTTGTAAGGCAGGCAGTGGTGGCCCTGACTTGGGAGCCAGCATGATGTAGTTTAGAAGGGACATCTAACTCATGAATGCCCAGTGACCCTAGCATCATGGAAGTGGGGAAGGAGCTGAATTTTGGAATTCATGTCCTCAGAGAATCAGATTGCTATGTGAAGGGCAGACACAGCCTTGCTGAGGATACTAGTCTGCCTTTTGCCTGACCATACCTGAGATTCCTGGAAAAGTCCAAGAGACCAAATGCAGAGAATTGACTGCAAATGTCTACATCTAAGGACCCTTGCACAGAATCTGGGAGCTGGAAGCGCCTGTCTCTGCAACTTACTGCTGCCTCCCTTATGCCTTCTGACTCCTTTTCCTGGCCCAAACACTAGCTGCCAGAACAGTCCGTGCTTGATAAAATTTTTAGTAGATTCTCTGTGCTTTTTCTCCCCAGAAAAGAATCCAGCCAACTATTCGAAGAACCGGGCTCGCCGCCCTCCGGCATTGCCTGTTCGGGCCGCCCAAGCTGCACCAGGGCCTTCGGGAAGAAAGAGACTTAGTCCTCACCATTGCTCAGTGTGAGTGCTAGGGGCAGCCCCAGGGCACACGCTGAGGCTCTTGCCTATTTGGATTTCCATGACAACCGATGGTATCATGGCTCAAACATAGTCCAGTTTCCCATTCTCTGGGAAGCACTAGTTTCTCCCTGGGGACAACCTAGCAGAAAATGTATGTGTGTTTTGGGGCAGGTGGCCTGGACAGCCAAGACCCGATGCATGGCCGAGTGCTCCAGACCATCTACAAGAAGCTGACTGGCTCCAAGTTCGACTGTGCCCTTCATGGAGACCACTGGGAAGACCTGGGCTTCCAGGGTGAGAGAAAAGTGCCTGTCTTGCTTTCCTTGTCTGATTGATTGATTCCAGAGTCCAGAGGGAGAGACCGTCTTGAGTGAGGAGGAACATCTAGGAGGGTACAGAAGAGTCAGGGGCCCTGGGGGCAGCACACAGGAGTGTGCCAAGCATGGTTGAGAGGAAGAGATTGTATAAAATCATTACTCCAGTTAAATAGTACAGCTTAGGAGGAAATCAACTTCATAATAATCCACAGGTAAAACTGCTCAGCAGAATGTGATATTTCCATGAGATAATCACACTGCATTAAAGGCAGTGTGGATCCTCCCACAGCCATTCACACCTTTGCTGATGCCAGAGAAAAATGGCAGCAGCAAACATGTAAAGGCACAGCAGTAGCAAGAGACACTCTGGAGCCGAAGGTCTTGGGACCTGGTCTATCTGAGATTCACCCATCACTGTCTTGCTTCCCGGTGGGCTGAATTCCTGAACCTCAACTGTCACCTGCTGCTCATCTGACATGGCCACCAGCAACAGAGCACATGTCACTTGGAGCTCTGCCATCTGTTAGGCAGCACTTTCGTGGTGTGAGATGGAATATACAGAGTGATGTCATTTGAGTCTGCTTTGCTTGTGTTTTCTCTTTTTAAATGAATAGAGCTATTTTAAATTGAAACAATGATTTCACTTGCTTTTGGATTATGCTTTTTTTTTTTTGAGACAGGGTCTCATATAGCCTAGGAGACTCTCATTCTCAGGCCATAGCTTTGGTCCTCCTGCTTCCCCCTCCTAGCTGGTGGTCCCACCATGCCCACTCTATACAGTGCTGGACATCCAGCCCAGGGCTTTTTTACATGCCAGATGAGTGGTCTATCCCTTGAGCTGTGTCCTCAGCACTATACCATTTTCCCTACTATCCTATCATGACATCTGTAAAGAATAAGAAACTATATTGCAGGGCGGTACACACCTTTAATCCCAGCACCCAGGAGCCATAAGCAGGCAGATCTCTGTGAGCTTGAGTTCTACACAGAGTTCCAGGCTAACCAGGGCTGCCATAGTTTTCTGTAGTTGCAATAACAGATTTCCACTGGCCAAAAGATGTGTAGTTCAGTTATTAGAATGTTCAATCCCCAGAACCCTATAAAATGACATAGTTTCTCAGGGTGGTGGTGGCACATGCCTTTAGTCTCAGTGCTCAGGAAGCAGAGACAGGAGGATCTCTATGAGTTTGAGGCCAGCCTGGTCTACAGAGTGAGTTCCAGGACAGCTAGGACTACACAGAGAAATCCTGTCTCAAAAAAGAAAAAAAAAAAAAAGACAAAAAATGAAAGAAAATGAATTTGGCACAGTACACTTGCAGCACTGGAGAAGTGGACCGTGGGTCCGAATTTAAGGTCATGCTCAGCTACATTACATAGCAGGCTGGCGGCCAGCCTGGACTCCACGAGACCCTGTCTCAGCCATGAAGAGAGTGACTTAGAACAAGCTGTTATCTTCTAGTTCTGTGGCCCAGTCTGACAAGACTCAGTGAGAAAACCAGGAGGCCGACAGGGCTGACTTCAAGGCTGTGGGGGACCTGAGAGAAAATCCGTTTCGTTAACCTTTGAGCTTCTAGAAACTTCCTGCAGACCTCTATCGTCACAGGCAGAAGCAGCATCCCTGAGCTTGCTCCTCACCTCTTTCTCTAGCTGTGTTTCCACCTCCTTCTGCTTTCATGGACCCCTCTCATGTGCACTGAGCCCCCCCAGATACCCCAAGCCACTCCCCTCTCTGCTGACAGCCACTTTGCCTGCATCTTCATCTCCTTTGCTGGGTAGCGAGTTCCTACATTCTGAGGTTTAGTGTGGGCGTCTTTGGACCGGGGATTGTCCCGGTCACCAGAACTGCTTTCTGATCTCTCCAGTACTTAGAGCATCTGCCTCATCTCAGGTGCTGTTCATCACGCACTGGGTGAAAGGCCAAATATTGCATTCAGCTTCCACAAATACAAATACCATTAGCTGGGAGCAATAGCAGGACTCCGTTACTGTTCTCCTGTGTCCTCTCCACTGAAGGGATGGGGGCAGGGGACAGGGGCCCTCCTTACAGGGTAAATGCCAAGCTTCACACCTGGCTTTCTCTAATCCAGCAAAAGTTTCAGTCAGACAAGGGAAGAACTCTGGGCCCTGGGCCCTGGGCCCTCACTGGGCCTTTGCTGAGGAAGAGGATGAAGCGTGGGGCACATGTCTCCATATATCTCAATTGGATGTGTCTTACTAGCTGCCCTTCTCCTATCCCTTTGGCTAGAGAGAGCCAGCTTTTCTGGGGCCTTTTGGATCTGCTCTTAGTCTGTTTTCTGTTGCTATCACAAAATCTTTAAGGCTGGGTAATGTATAGAAATTAGAAGTTTTTTTGACTCTGAGGGCTGTGAAGTCAAAGAGCACAGTTACAAAATCTCCTCGGTGTCTGTTGAGGGCTTTCTCATTGTGTCATAGCATGCTGGAGATAGAGGAGGAAGAGCAGGCGTAAGTCAGCTTGAGTCTTTCTTCCTCTTTTTCCCTTCCAGAGATGGTCTCTCTGCTGGCCTTGAACTTGCTATATAGACAAGGATGACCTTGAATGTCTCATCCTCCTGCTTTTACCTACCAAGTGTTGGGATGACAGGCATGTTGACAAACATGTCCAGTTTATACTCTGCTGGAGATGGTACCCAGGGCCTTGTGTATGGTAGGCAGTGTATGTAGGGGCTAAGCTACACCCCAGCCCCTGTCTTTGTGAGGAGCATGGTGGTAGCTGTATGGGGAAATGAGTACAGAAAGCAGTAGGAACAAAGACTGCCCCCAGAGCAGTCCCAAGTGCTGAAGGATGGGCTTGTTTGGTTCCATACGGCCCATCAGAGGTGAGTCTAGAAGTGGGCTGTGCCTCTCATCCTCTTCTAGCCCAGCAGGGCCATTGTCAGTACAGTTTTCCAGCAGTGTTGTGAGAGATCCAGGGATCCAGGCATCCTCCATCCTTGCTTACTGTCACACCTGGTTTCTGCCACAGGAGCAAATCCAGCTACAGACCTGAGGGGGGCAGGCTTTCTTGCCCTCCTGCACCTGCTGTATCTGGTAATGGACTCAAAGACTTTGCTGATGGCCCAGGAGATCTTCCGCCTGTCTCATCACCATATCCAGGTAGGATTCTGGTGGGAAGATAGAGGGGAAGGCTGTGGAATGAGGACCCAAGGAGCCGGGACTGCATAGTTCAGTGTCAGGGTGGTGGAGACAAACCAGGAATGGCTCCTCTGCCCAATGCCTTGGAATCTGAGCTCCACCATTCATTAGCTGTAGGTCTTCGGCAAATCCCTCAGCTACTTGGAGCCCTGATTTCCTCATCTGCTGGAAATCATGAAGACTTGTTTTCACTTCTTTTCTGTCGCTGTGTTAAAATACTCTGGCAAGAACTACTGAGGAAGAAAGGGGTTGGTTGATTTGTTTGTTTGCTTGTTTGTTTGTTTGTTTGGTTGGTTGGTTGGTTTTTCAAGATAGGGTTTCTCTGTGTAGCCCTGGCTGTCCTGGAGCGTGTGCTGTAGAGCAGACTGGTCTGGAATTCACAGAGATCTGCCTGCCTCTGCCTCCTAAGGAAGGGTTTGTTTTTGCTCACAGTTTGGTGTTATAGTTCGGCAATGCCAGGGAGTCACAGCAGCAGGAGCTTCAGGAGGCAGCTGGTCACATTGCACCACAGTCAAGTAACAGCAATAACTGCAAGAATACTAAGTGTACAGCTCACTTTGTCCGTTTCATATGAACTCAGATCCCCTGCCCACAATTAAGACTTGTATCTCCATGTCAACAACATAATCAAGGTCATCTGTGTTAGCATGCCCAATGGCCCATACCCCAGATGACTCCAGACACTGGCCACTTGTCAGCACTAACCATCGTGACTATAGCTGGCCCACAGGGAATATCCTGTGGTCCTTGAACATATGCATTAGGCGCACAGAGGAGTTGCTGCTTCCAGTGTTGGGAGTTTTTTTCAACTCTGAAGGCACAGGGTTAGTTTGGGGGTGACCCTTGGTCTTAACCATCAGCCCAGTGATGGCTTCGGTCACCCCTTATTACCTCTTGCCCATTAGGATAGGTCTGATCATTTTCCCATGTAGTGAAAGGTAGTATTCACTCCAAAAGAAAACATAGGTAGCCTGCTTCCTCCCATTTGTCTACCCAAATTCACAGGGCTAGAAATTGGTTAATGCATTCAGTGAACGAAGAACAAAGATGACTTCCACATTCCCACCCACCCCCACTAGTTTTCATGATGCTTGGGATGTGTTAGAGAACAAAGCAGACTATGATCCTTCCAGCAGGATGACACAATAATATACTAAATTAATTCCAGAATTCATTAGAAGGTGAGGAAAAGGGTGGGTAAGGTAGGGACACAGTGTTCAACTCTCAGGAGATGAACGGAGTCTGGAAGGACTAGAGTCATGTTAGCCAAGCCTGTGCCTAGGGTGCCTGGTTTTCCAGGCATTGGGTATAGCAGAAGCAAAGGTCACAAGAAAGGGAGCATGCTGGGAGTGAGTAGAAGGAACACAGCACACCATGGGAGAAGAAGCCACCAAGGAAGCAGACCCGATATAGTAGACCTTGTCAGTCACATGGTGGATGCCAGGTTTGTCCCTGTGGTGCATCAGGAATAACTGCAAAGCTTTGAGCAGCACAGTGGCATATGCCAGCTCACAGGGATCTTACCAGCTGCAAGGAGAAGAGCCGTCTAAGGAGGTCCCTTATAATCATGAGTGACAGAGATGAGGGGGAGGAAGACAGTAGCCCAGGAGACAGAAGCATCCCAGAAGTCACATGAAGGAGGATGTAGTGTTGGCCTTGGCCTGGGGTCAGGTGGTTCTGGTTCATAAGACATAAGGATTGCTGGATCGTCACTGGGAACTGTAATTAGGACATTTTCAGCAGATATTAGAGGCAAAGAGCCTTGACTTGGATTAAATTTAAAAGGGAGTAGAGTGGGAGGAATAGATTTGAGACAGTAAATGTAGACTCGGTTTTCAGAGGATTTTGTGGCAAAGGGAAGCCAAGAAGGGTGATTGTAAATTGAGATTTTAGTCATTTGGAGCTGTGTGTGTTTTCCTGTTTTTTATTTTGCTTTTTTTTTTTTACATCAAAACTCTTTGTATTTTTTGAATAGTAAATTAATTTTATTATATTTTTTCTTGCCTCCATGTTTTTTTATTAGTTCAAATTAGGAACAAGCTTGTTTCACTTATCAATCCCTTCTCCCTCTCCCTCCCCTCACCCCCACCCAGCTTTTTTGTTTTTAAGATTTTATTTATGTATGTGTGTATTTGTGTGTATGTGCTGTGCACATGTGTGTAGGTGCCCCTAGAGGCCAGAAGAGGGATCCCCTGGAGCTAGAGTTTCAAGTGGTTATGACTGCCTGACACGGATGCTGGGAACCAAACTCCAACCAGTACTCTGGACCACTGAGCCACTTCTCCAGCCTCTTGTTTTGTTTTGTTCTTAATTTTTGAATCAACATTTCAGTCTGTTGTCCAGGCCGTCTTGGAACTCACTGTGTAGCCTGGATTATCCTTAAATACATCGTGACCCTCCTGTTTCAGCCTTCCAAGTGCTAAGATCACAGGTGAGAGACACCGTCCATGACAAGTAGTTATTTTCATGAAATTCAAGTGTCCGGAAAAGTTGTGATGGGCAATATTATCTAATAACAAAGAAATCAAAGTTAGAGACTTGGGGATAGAGCTCAGTTGGTAGAATGCTTGCCTAGCCTGCACAAAGCCTTGAGTTCTCTTCTGTTCTATCCAGAGAATGCTCTAAGATACCTGTATTTTCAGTTTTGAATGAATGAGTTTATTAAGCATATAGTAAGCAGAAGTAAAAAAACAACTATCTGGCTGGAGAGATGGCTTATCAGTTAAGAAAGCTGGCTGCTCAACAACCAGCAACCACATAGTCAGGCTCACAGCTGTCTATAGTGGGATCTCATGTCCTCTTCTGGCATAAAGGCATACATACAGACATATATATGAAATAAATAAATAAATCCTAGTTTTTCACAAAAGAATAAGCTGGACATGGTGGCACATGCCTTTAACCTCAGCACTCAGGAGGCAGAGGCAGGTGGATCTCTGTGAGTTCAAGGCCAGCCTGGTCTACAAAATGAGTTCCAGGACAGCCAGGGAGAGAAACCCTGTCTCGTGTGTCAGTCAGATTTAGAAAGGAGAGAGAGAGAGAGAGAGAGAGAGAGAGAGAGAGAGAGAGAGAGAGAATAAATATGAAGTAACAGATAGGAATGCTCATTAAATCAAGCAGTTACCACATCCAACAAGAACGAACGATGAGGAAACCCTGCTCAAATCCACATGAGAGATCTCTGGGCAAAGGAGGGTCTCTCCATGGGGAGCTTCCAGCTCCTCACTCCCACTGCAGGCAGTTGTATGCCATGGGCTAAAAACTAGTAAGCTGAATTGGAAATGCTTTTCCTTCTAGCTGGTCTCAAAGGTGCAGTGTCTTTATTGCCCTTAGCTGTTTGCTGCTCTCCTCCCTCCCATCTCTTACAGGGCTGAGGTCAGCCTGCCTCAAGACAAGGAGTCTTGGGGGACACTTGAGATAAACAGGCTTGAGTCTGAGACAAGTGGACTCTTGTCAGCTCTCAACATGGACAAACAGCACATGACAGTTTACCAATATAATGCTTATTACAGGTCCCCAAGACCTGGCATGTTAGTGTAAATTCAAGGTCATCCTAACTGTCATAGCAAGTTCAAGGCCAGCCTGGGTTACAAGACAACCTGTTTAAGAAGAATGGAGGGAAAAAAAAGATTTAATTGAATGTACTAGCCCACACCTTTAATCCCAGTACTCTGGGAGTCAGAGGCAGATGGGTCTGTTGTGAGTTCAAGGCCAGCCTGATCTATACAGAGAGACCCAGGTTCTACATAGTAGAACCCTGTCTCAGAAGGGGGACAGGGACTGAGAATGTGGCTCAGTTGGTAGAGTGCCTGCTTAGTGTCCACAGGCCTTGTGTTCAGCCATCAGCACAAACCAGGCATTGTGGTGCACACCTGTAATTCCAGCACTCTGGAGGAAGAGGTGGGGTGAGCACAAGCCAGGGTCATCCTCAGCTACACGGTGACTTAGAAGCCAGTAGGGGAAAATGGGGAGGATGATTTAAAAGCAGGCTATAACACCCTTCCGCATACACACATACTCCAGCTCCAGGGTAGGAAATGGCTATCAGTGCTTCACAGTACTGCCTGGAAACTATGTCCCCAGCAGCGTGCCAGGTCCACAAATAGAGTGAATATTTACTCATGGGAACATTTGCTGGTAATTGGAAGCTTATTATCATGCCATGAGCATCACACATTGGATACAACATTTGTGCCAGGAGCACAGTGGCACATTTTGGAAGTAGGGGAAAAGTAAAAGATAGGGACAGACCGAGCTTTATTGGGCGTGGAGTGCAGGACACCAGTCATAACCCTGGAGTCTGGGAAAGGGGGTTATAACCACATGAAAAGTTGCAAAGAGCAAAATGAAGCATGGTGAGATCATGTATTGATCAGGTGGTGGAGGCAGGAAAATTGGTAGTTCAAGGTCATTCTCAGTTACATAGCACATTCCAGGCCAGCCTGGGCTCCATGAGACAAAACACAAAAACAGGACAAAACGACAGATTAGCCCTGGTATTTTCAAATTAATAAGTGGAAGTGTATTAGTTAACTTTCTGCTGCTATGACAAATGACCTGACCAAGCAGCTTAGGAAGGAAGAAGGAAGGAAGGAAGGAAGGAAGGAAGGAAGGAAGGAAGGAAGGACGGACTCAGATGGTTGGTCACATGGTATCCAAAGTCAGGGAACAGAAAACAATGGATGCTACTGCTGGGCTGCCTTTCTCCTTTTTATCCAGCCCAGGGCGCCAGCCCAAGGAATGGTGCCACTAACGTTTAGCGTGGGCCTTCCCACCTATGTGTGTGTGTGTGTGTGTGTGTGTGTGTGTGTCTGTGTGTGTGTGTTATGAAAGGTTAGATAAAAACTCCTAAAAATAAACCATCACATAGAACAAAAAGCCAAGTGTTAGAATGAAGGGAAGGGTAGGTTTGGACCTCCTGCCTCCACACCTCATCATGGGACTAGATTGTGTTGGATCATCATTGTCTTTGATCAATGTACTTATAAAAAATATTTTATTTTTTATTTTTATGTGTATGGATGTTTGCCTGTATGTATGTCTATGTACCACGTGTGTGTGCCTGATGCCCAAGGAGGCCAGATAGGGCATCAGAACCCCAGGAAATGGAGTGACAGAGGTTGTGAGCCACTGTGTGCATGCTGGGACTCAAACTCTTGTGTTCTGGAAGAGGAGCCACCACTCTTAAGCTTTGAGCCATCTCTCTAGCCCCTTATCTTATTTAAAATTCTTTGTATGCATATGTGTCTGTGTGTAGGTATGTTCACATGAGAGCAGGTGCCTGTGGAGGTTATAATAGCACATATGATCCCATGCTGGAGTAATGGGAACCAATGTAAGAATGACTGTGTGTGTGTGTGTGTGTGTGTGTGTGTGTACATGCAAGCACAGTACACCAGAAGAAGACATCTTGTGGGCGTTCATTCTCTCCTTTTGCCATGTGGCTCCTGGGGATCAAATTTAAGTCTTCAGATTTGGTGGCAAACTGGCTGAGTCATCTCACCAGCACCCTTACAGGCATTCTGGTAGACCAGACTGGCCTCAAGCTCACTCTGTAGCCATATTAGCCATGAATTCCTAATCCTCCTGCTCTTGCTTCCTGACCAATGCACTTTAACTTCTTATTTTGTAATGATTTTTGAAGGGGACTCTCCTACAGCGGGAACTCCCTTCCAAACCCCAGTTTAGGCACAAACCACACCCAAACACCTGTTTTCACAGAGAGATCCTTTATTAAGTGGGGGAGGAAAAGTTAAAGTGGCTGCTTTCTGACTCAGGCAGGAAAAAACAAACAAACAAACAAACAAACAAAAAAACCCACGGGCAAATGGCCTTGCAGGTGTCATTCTTAAGAAGAGAAAAAGGGAGGTCTGTGTGAGAATGGTCTAGGATGTGTGGTAAGAAGATGGAGGACTAGGGAGAAGGGGAAGGACACAAGAGAAGGGGGCAGGAATATTTGTTCTGGATGGACAAAGGGCTGCCCCTGGATAGAGGGAGACAGATGTGGCCCACAGGCAGATGGTGTTTATACAGGGTAAGGGGGAAACCCTGTGCTAGAATAGGATGCTTATTTTAATTGGGCATATTGATTAGGTGAACCAAAGGGAACTCTTGATTGCTGGACTTTGGTAGTCAGCTTCAGGAAGAGAAAGTGGCCAAATAAGGGAGTAGACCTTGGTTGTCCCGCGCAATAGTCTCGCCAGCAAGAACCACACAGGACATTCGGATCCTTCTGCAGGAAAGCTTTAATGCGTCTTGAGAGGAGAGCATAAGCTTACCAGAGCGGAGACCCCGAGCCAAGAATCCTGTCCCCTAATCAAGGCTGGCAGCCGCCGCCTGGGACGTGTCACCCTATGATTGGCTTCAGCTCATCAGGGCATCTGACGCCACGGAATAGGCAGAGATCAAGGAAATGGAAAATTACCCAGCGCCTGCGCAATAATTTACATTCAGTGCCTGCAGGCACCATCATTGTAATGGAGAATGCAGGGACGGCTCCCTACACTTGGTGTCTGGCTTTCGGAATGTGCTCTAATGGTTTTAGCAAGGCAGGGCGAATGGGGACAAGGGGAAGGCCTGCCACAGCCACATGCTCTAGTGGGCTAGTGTCCCTCCAATTTTAAATTTACAGAAAACTCGCCAAAGGATCACTAGACAGAGCAGCCATTTCTTTCTCATTCCACTTCCCCAGTAACCTCCAACTATATGACTGTTATGCAAACAAAGGGTGACTAACTGGAGTACCCTGCAGCAACCTTGTCCTGGTCTTTCACCCTTGGGTCCCATTGCCTCTTGTTGTCATGTCTCCTTTATCTCTTCCAGCCTGCAGGAGGGTTTATTTCACCCTGAGTTTGTCTTTTGCCACCTTGACATACTATATCCCCCATCTTAGGTTTCTCTCTCTCTCTCTCTCTCTCTCTCTCTCTCTCTCTCTCTCTCTTTTTCCAAAATTAGATGGGAGGTATGCGTTTGGGATGAAATGGCACCATCTAT